AGGGAAAATAACAGGTAACGTCTCTTCATACTACAGGTACATACTGTAGTCTCGCTCATAAACGTCTTTGGAATAATTAATATCTTAAAACACTATTAGACTTGGTACACATTGGGAACAGTTCATTTCATAAGTGCTCCTTGTCTCCGGGACGCAGCTGACGGACGAAAATCGAGTTTGAAGTAACTAAAACAAATGAAAATTTCCCAATAAACTTACAAGGTTTGATCGAGTAAGAGTTGGCAATATGATATCTACACATATATTTACATACAGTCAATGATCAAACCTTCCTGACTCTTTGCTATTGGTAAGTCGACCTGAGTCCCAATCTAAGAGCTTAAGGGCAGAAGAGGAGTGAGCTCGGGGAAAGTGAAGGGAGTAAAGTCACTGTTGCCTGAATTGGTTTATTCAAAAGGTGTGAGAAAGAATGGAAATGACAAACAAATATTAAGGTGAGGATATAAAATGTTGTTTGTTGTCATTGTTTTTGTTATGTTGTTATTTTTTATTGTTGTTGTTATTGCTTTGTTGTTATTGATATTGCTTTGTTGTTTTGTTTGTTATTGTTTTGTTGTTGTTGATATTGTTTTGATATTTTTGTTGTTTTTGCTGTTTTTTTTTTATTCTTGTTCTCCTTCATATTATTATTATTATTATTATTATTATTATTATTATTATTATTATTATTATTATTTTTTTTTTTTTTTATTATTATTATTATTATTATTATTATTATTATTATTATTATTATTATTATTATTATTATTATTATTATCCAACTCCACCACAAACAGTAGAGCTCCCCCCTCTCATAGGCTGGGTTAGAGCACAGGTAGAAACTGCACTTGGTATACTGATAGATCCTGGCCTGTGCGGAGTCCCTGATCTAATGTTTTAATGATGAACGAATCCACTTTGGGTCATCCCTCCCTTAACAGAGATTAATTTTTAACCTTTATTATCCCTTCCTCTCTCTTAGTTCATCATCATCACACACACACACACACACACACACACACACACACACACACACACACACACACACACACACACACACACACACACACACACACACACACCGCCTTTCTTTCTCTCTCTCTCCTTCTGGAAATAATGAACAGCAAGAGGGAAGGAGAATTCCTTCCCTCCTTCATACTTAAATGAATAATCTCTCTCTCTCTCTCTCTCTCTCTCTCTCTCTCTCTCTCTCTCTCTCTCTCTCTCTCTCTCTCTCTCTCTCTCTCTCTCTCTCTCTCTCTCTCTCTCTCTCTCTTACCCACCCACTTTTCTACCTACTCTCCCTACCTACCCACTCTCCCTACCTACCCTCTCTCCTACCCCTCTCCCTACCTACCTACTCTACACCCCTTCCCTACCTCCTACCAGAAAAATTACCGCCTCCCTCACTGCACACACACACACACATTCACCCCAGCATAGTGTATCACCTTAGACAGTTATTAAAGACATTAAAAACTCACATGACGTCGGCTGGAACTAATAAAACCTCCCGAGGCCGGACATTCCTCTCGCTAAAACAATATCTCGCTCCTGTAGTAAGAAATTATTGTTACTCTTCCCGGCCGGCCCAGCGAGAAGAGTTTATTGTGAAGGAAACTAGTGAAGAAAGTGCTTATTGTCAGGGGTTAATTCTGTAGTCTTCTTATTATTTTTATTGGGTATTTTTTTTTATTGTAGTTTTTTTTCGTGGATTTTTGGCGATTTTATTTATATTTACGATATTTTTGCTTTTTTTTGCTGTTTTTTTCACTTCGTTTGTTTTTTATTTTGTTTTTTATACTTAGGTTTCTTAACAACGACGTTTCATAATGGAAGTTGATTCACCTTGTTTATATTTTGTTTTTGTTTTACTCTTGTTTTTTGGTTTTTATTGTGTTTTCCTTTGTTACTTTTCATTTGTTTTATTTTTGTTTATTGTTTTACTGACGAGGTGTGGTCAGCTAGGTGTGGTCAGCTAGGTGTGGTCAGCTAGGTATGGTCAGCTAGGTGTGGTCAGCTAGGTATGGTCAGCTAGGTATGGTCAGCTAGGTGTGGTCAGCTAGGTGTGGTCAGCTAGGTATGGTCAGCTAGGTGTGGTCAGCTAGGTGTGGCCAACTGGAGTGATGACCAAAGTGACTCATTATTACCTCACGCTGTGGCCCTTCGTGGTTCATCCAATCACGGCTCAGCATTCCAGTTGGGGGCGTGGCTAAGTTTTACCAATTTAAAAATATTGATTATAAAATAGACTATACTGTATTGACCTATTCTGAACTATAAGCTACACTGAACTATACTGAATTATCTATAATAACAAAAGGAGGTGTCTATCTTTCTGTCTGTCTGTCTGTTCTGGCCATAGCTCCAAAACGGAAGAAGTTAGAGACGTGAAACTTTACACACGGCTATTGTGGGAGGGCCAACAGGCGAGGTCATACTGTACCTAACCGAGCCAGGCCGGGCAGTACTGAAATAAGGTTTTACTGATAAACGTCAGCTACAGTTAACTATCCTGAATAATATCGATATATACCGAACTACACTGAACTTACTGAAGTATATCAAGCTATACTGAACTATTCCTTTCTATACTGAACTATACCGTTGTACACTGAGCTACAATAAAGTATGCCCTTCTGTACTGAGCTACACAGAAACAGGTCACAGAAGGTCAAAGGTCACTTCCTGCTCCTATATTTAGCGCACCTTTTCCAAATCCTTTAAACGCGGGAAATTATTTGTAAGCGCGGCACGACCCCAGGCCCTGGTGTGCTAAATGAACATATTCTCTCTCCCTCGTAACTCAGATTGAAACTGAAGCTTTTTCATTCGGATAGAGGCAGTGCAGGTAAAGTAATTAATTTCCCATTAAAATAATAGTTATGTTAATATATATATATATATAATATATATATATATATATATATATATATATATATATATATATATATATATATATATATATATATATATATATATATATATATATATATATATATATATATATATAATAATAATAATAATAATTGACGGTTTATTGAAAAAGTTCTGCAGCCCGAAGGCGGAAAATATACATTGGACATAAATGACTTATTACATACATTGGTGGTTTAACAAAAGCCTTCATTAGAGAAAGGTAAAGGAACATACAGTGAACATATAGATTATTGTAGGTGTTGAACAGCAAAAACATGTAGTATAGTAACTCCCTCAGATGGTATTTAGGGAAGGACCTCACGTGGTGTAGTAGTTCCCTCACAGAGTAGTTGTTATATGAGGGCCTCACGTGGTGTAGTAATTCCCTCACAGATGGTGTTATGAGGGCCTCACGTGGTCGTAAATAATTCCCTCACAGATGGTGTTATGAGGGGCCTCACGTGGTGTAGTAATTCCCTCACAGATGGTGTTATGAGGGGCCTCACGTGGTCTCAATAATTCCCTCACAGATGGGTGTTATGAGGGGCCTCACGTGGTGTAGTAATTCCCTCACAGATGGTGTTATGAGGGGCCTCACGTGGTGTAGTAATTCCCTCACAGATGGTGTTATGAGGGGCCTCACGTGGTGTAGTAATTCCCTCACAGATGGTGTTATGAGGGGCTTCACGTGGTGTAGTAATTCCCTCACAGATGGTGTTATGAGGGGCCTCACGTGGTGTAGTAATTCCCTCACAGATGGTGTTATGAGGGGCCTCACGTGGTGTAGTAATTCCCTCACAGATGGTGTTATGAGGGGCCTCACGTGGTGTAGTAACTCCTTCACATATGGTGTTATGAGGGGCCTCACGTGGTGTAGTAATTCCCTCACAGATGGTGTTATATGAGTGAGGTGTGGTTCCAGGCCTTCCTATCGTAGACGGATTAACACATCGCTGGTAGTTGGGTCTCACGGGCCGTTATCACTGGGTATCTGGGACCTCACTGTGTGAAAGGTCAACTTGGGTACCACTGTTACTGTTGAGTTGTTCTCACTGACTTAAGCACTGTTCACCACTGTTCACCTCTGTTTAACACTGGTTCCATTTCTTTCCTAAATGAAATAGTAACTTCTGGCGTGAACTTGTTGATATTTCGGTGGGGAGGAGGGTTCAGGGGAGGGAGTTGGTATGGGCCAACATAGCAGTTGACCTGGCTGCTCCGAGAGGAGCGCCAGGTACGTCTTGACCCTTCGGTGTGTGTGTGTGTGTGTGTGTGTGTGTGTGTGTGTGTGTGTGTGTGTGTGTGTGTGTGTGTGTGTGTATAATAATAATAATAATAATAATAATTATAATAATAATGATAGTTACCGGTTTATTGGGTAATACATCAGCTGTAAGCTTAAAACATAGAAAAAGACACAAGTGGTATTACATAACATGTAGTGACAGGGGGGAGGGTTGGTTGACAAGGGCTTTCAGTGTTGGTGGACAGTATAACAGGGAGGATAGGCAGTGAACACACAAGTTATCTGCAAATTATTGATCAATTTTCCAGTAGTTGTAATGAGGGTGTTGCTGTAGCGATCAAGGCGAGGTTGTAGGGGCTGGATGCGGTTGTGATGTCGAGCAGCAATTCACGGTCGAGGGATCTCAGGTGGAAGCAGGTGGCGGTATTGAGGATGGTGTAGTAACTTGGTCTCAATCTGACAGATGATGTCACGATGATAATAGATGATGTCTGATGATAATTGAGGGGTCTGGACCAGTGTGTGTGTGTGTGTGTGTGTGTGTGTGTGTGTGTGTGTGTGTGTGTGTGTGTGTGTGTGTGTGTGTGTGTGTGTGTGTGTGTGTGTGTGTGTGTGTGGTGTGTGGGTGTGTGTGTGTGTGTGTGTGTGTGTGTGTGTGTGTGTGTGTGTGTGTGTGTGTGTGTGTGTGTGTGTGTGTGTGTGTGTGTTTATTTTTGTTTTTGGTGTATGTGAGTTTCTTCCCTGTGTACGGGACACCAGCAGACAACAAAGTAATGAAAGCACCAATCAGGAGACGCCATGACCTCCATACACACAAGGCACCAGTAGTCGCCTCCCTCCCTCCCTCCCTTACCTAACAAAACTTAGACTCGTGAGATGTGACTTTTTTTTACTCCCCACCCGGATTAGTGATGATGAGATGGTGACGACCGTTGATGGTGATGAGGACGGTGAGGCTGAGTTATGAGGGTCTTAATAACTCACAAACTTATCAGGCGATCATCTAGGAATTATGGATGGTATTTGATGGTCGAACCTCCTGCCATGGTGCCAAATATTCGGCAGTTTGGGGCATCTGAGGATAAAAATGAAATTGTGGGAGGTTTTTAATTTTTTGGTCGTATTTTATTTTTATTTTTTTATTATTTGATATTTGAAATTGTGGGAATAGTTGTTCTTAAAAATATTCATGTGATGTTTGAAGGACTAGAGAAGATTTTATTTGTTATTAAAAAAAAATCACGTTAAGGGATTTTTTTTTCATATAGTCAAGATTATTCCTGTGATATTTTCATTACTTTGGGTTTGTGTAAAATTCCCTTTTATTTAATTTGTGTAGTTTGGTATTTAAACAATATTTTTATGACAATTATAATAACTCTTGGTGTTTATTAAAAGTGGAGAGAATTAACTGATGTAAAATTAATAAATGAAGAATAAGACAAAGATAAAGAGATAAAGAGACAAAGAGACAGACTGACAAATATAAGAGGGGAAGGGGGGAGAGGGAAGGGGGAGGAAGGATACGTATAGAAGATGTGAAGAACGGAAAATGTCATAACGTCACTAAATAAAATAATACAAAGACTTCTTAATTATTTTCCACGACGTAATAAAACTGTACTTACACCTCCCACTCCTTTACCTTCCCTTCCCTACCCCTGCCACCTCTGCCACCTCCCCTACCCCTACCACCTCCTCCCTTCCCCCTACCACCCCTCCTCCTTCCCCCCCCTTATATCTTCAAAACATAGCTGATGACGAAGGTTGAAAATAAATCTTTAATACAACAAAAATCATAATAACAAATAATCTTAAGTGAATTATTTTGCTCTCTTCTTCCTTAATAAATATAAGGAAAGATTTTTTATTTAGCCATATAAGTCATGATAACTGACCCCGCGTGGAGAGAGAGAGAGAGAATCTGAATGAACAGACAGGTGAACACACACACACCTTTGAACAGACCAGACAGACAGACAGGTGTCCCAGACAAACCCTCGTTAGTTTGTGGATCAAGGTAAAATTGAAACTACTATAATGTGGTTTAATGTGTGAATTAATTAAAATTTCTCGTTGGGGAAGAGAGGAGAGATGAGAGTGGTATAGGGGAGGGAAGAAAGGAGAGAGAAGGAGATTGAGGTGAAGGAGGAATGCTGGAGGAAGGGGAGGAGGAGGAGGAGGAGGAGGAGGAGGCTCTGTGTTGTGAATAAACGTGAGTTTTGTTGTGATGTGACTCCTCTCTCTCTCTCTCTCTCCTCTCTCTCTCTCTCTCTCTCTCTCTCTCTCTCTCTCTCTCTCTCTCCACTAAGCATAAGAACCTCAAGTTCAGCCAATTCACTACAGAACCTTTTAAATCATTCTTGTGTGTGTGTGTGTGTGTGTGTGTGTGTGTGTGTGTGTGTGTGTGTGTGTGTGTGTGTGTGTGTGTGTGTGTGTGAATCAAACCTGCACTGGAACTAACCTCCAAGTACAGATGCTGAAATTATAATAATAATAATATGTAATTATAATAATAATATATATGTGTAATAATAATAATAATAAATGAAGCTCCTCCACTTTCTAATCACTCTTGTCTAGACCCACTAATCTTTACAGGCTAGTACTAATCCTGGGTTTTAATTTTGATATTAATTTATATGGTAGTATTATTATTATTATTATTAATGTGTGTTATTATTATTATTATCAAATATGGTATTTTTATTATTATTATTATTATTATCGTTATCATATATGTATTATTATTATTATTATTATTATATTTATTTTACTATTATTATTATTATAATATTATTATTATTTATTATTATTATTATTATTATTATTATTAGTATTATATTATTATTATTTTATTTTATTATTATTATTAATATTATTAGTATTAATTATTATTATTATTGAACATACTTATTATTATTATTATTATTATTATTATTATTATTTTATTATTATTATTATTATTATTATTATTATTATTATTATTATTATTATTATTAGTATTATTATTAATATTATTATTATTATTATTATTATTATTATTATTATTTTTATTATTATTATTATTATTATTATTATTATTATTATTATTATTATTATTATTATTATTATTATTATTATTATTATTATTATTATTATGTATGTGTATTATTCCGCATCTAAAGATTTTGTAACACGTTCTCAATTCTGTATTTGCTGAGAAATTGTCAGAGATATTTAGTTGCAAAGACCTCGAGAGAGACCGACTAAATGACAAGCAGTGATGAGAAAGAGA